CCAAAACATCTCCTGCTGCTCTTCTTCAAGAGGCCACTCCAGGTAGGTCTTTGTGTTCATGATCTTCCGCAGCTTGCAAAACCTCCTGGGAATCGCTTTGCTCTGGATGGGCTCCAGGAGGACGAGAATTGCTGCATCGTTGTTCTCATCAAAGAGGCGGAAGTGCGAGAAGTCCAGCTCATATTTGCACCACTCGCTCTGCACAAAGTGCTCGGACAACACAAAGAGCGTTTTGTGGCTCTTCTCTATGGAGTCGATGATGTTGTCCACAATCCACTTCCCGGGCACAAAGTCCCGCTTATGGAGGCAGAGCCGAAACGGGGGGCAGGCCTGCTCCAGCTCCCGCACCATTATGTTTTCCACCCAGTCGGAGTCGTTCTCGCTGTAGGAGACAAAAGCATCATAGCAGATGTCCTTCGGGGGGGCTCGCTTGGGCTTCCGCTTGGCTTGGAGCCATGCCCAGGTCATTCTCAGGTACCAGACCGCATGGTACTTGTAGCCAACAGCCACGAGGACGAGGATGACCAGGAACACCAGGGTGCAGATCAACGACACCACGAGGGACCTGTGGCACTCCATCAGGGAGAGGTGCACGGCTCCAACCTGTGCCCCTCTCACTGCCAGGGGAGAGTCACAGATGTACTTGTCTGGCCACCCCACCAGCACCTGGGCTATCCTGGCCTGGTGGTGGATGAAGGAGAGGAACTCACAGGAGCAGATAAAGTTGTTGTCACTGGCATCCAGCAGCTCCATTTTCCTGAAGGACTCAAACTCTTCCCTAGAGAAACTGTTGAGCTTGTTTCTTCTGACTGACATGGCCACTAAGTTAGGAATAGGTACGGCACCAGGCAAGGACTTCAGCTGGTTTTTTGTGAGGTACAGCTCTTTGAGAAGTGGGAGTTGCAGTCCAAACTCCTTCAGGTTGTTAGCGCTAACGTCCAAAACTTCCAGGGTTGGGGGAATGCAAGTTGTTAGTTTAGGAATTTGAGTGCTGGAAAGATTCAAATATTTCAGGTTTCTTGGCCAGTCACATACATCTGGAATCTCACCAAAATTATTTTGGCTAATGTC